GGGGACTCTTGCCAGCTTTGGTGCTGACCAGCCAGGTAGCCTTGGGCCAGTCCCTTCCCCACCTGTGACTCGGTTTCCCCCGCCCGCTCCAGCTCCCCACTGTGTTGCAGGATCACAGGTGTTTCCTCCTGACCACCCGTGGCACTGCAGGCAGGTCTGCGCTTGCGCTGTTGTGCGAATGGATGAGGTTGACGTGACTCTTTGGCTAGAAGTGCTACGGGTTGCTGCAGCAGTGGTCTGGCCTTCGGGCCTTGCAGGGCTCCTAGGGGTTGTCAGTGCTGCTGACTGGGCAGGGAGAGTTGAGGGCTAGCACATCTGGCTGGGCTCTAAGCACCTCTAAGGAAAGGCCCAGCTGGGGTAGGGCTCAGACGCTCACGGCTGGCACTAACCAGCCCCTTTCAGGCTGGAATGGGCCGTGGAGACGCTGCCCCCTGGGTCGGGGCCAAGCCGTGGGGTCATGTCAGGATGTACTGCAGTTGCCAGCAGCTGCCCTTGTCCTTGCTCCCCAGGTCTATCAGTCAGGCCCCCTGCGGTTCACAGTACAATCCCTGATTCTTCTGCTCTCTGCTTAAACCTAGGGGAAGTTTAGCAGCTGTACGGATCCGGCCAAGATGACAGAAAAGGAATGCAGGTAGGCGCCCCCTGTCATCACTGCATGTACCTCGCAGCCAGAGCGCAGAGACCGGGGGTGTCATTGCCTGAGGGGGGACTGGTGGGGAAGGCGAGGAACCAGTCCTGGTTTGTTGTCTCTTGTGCTCACAGCCTGTTCCCGGGACCCTGCTGAGCAGAGGAGCCCAGGCGTGGGTCTCTATGCAGAGCAAAGCCTGCAGCACAGGGCAGCTTGCTCTAGGGGGCAGAGAGCCGAGGGGAGTGTTGAATGGCCAGGACCAAGGAGGAGTTGGGCTCGTAAGCCAGAGGAAGGCCAGGCCAATGGTTAAGGCACTAGCAGGGTTGCCAGGTGTCTGGTTTTTGATCGGAACACCTGGTCGAAAAGGGACCCTGGTGGCTCCGGTTAGCACCACTGACCAGGCCATTAAAAGTCCGGTCAGCGGCACAGCAGGGATAAGTAAGCCGCGGCTTCTGGAAGCAGGAGCATGTCCCCCCTTTGGCTCCTATGTGTAGGGGCAGCCAGGGGGCTCTGTACGCTGTTCCCGCCCCAAGTGCCAGCTCTGCAGCTCCCATTGGCCAGAAACTACAGCCAATGGGAGCTGCAGGGGGGGTGCCTGCGGACAGGGCAGCACGCAGAGCCACCTGGCCGCATCTCCACGTAGGAGCCAGAGGGAGGACAAGCCACTGCTTCCGGGAGCTGCTTGAGGTAACCGCCGCCCAGAACCTGGACCCCTGACCCCCTCCCACGCCCCAACCCCCTGCCCCAGCCCTGATCGCCCTCACGCCTTTGGCTCGGAGCACCCTCCTGCACCCCAAACCCCTCATCCCCAGCCCCCCCCCAGAGTCTGCACCTCCACCCCCAACCCCCCTTCCCCAGCCCGGAGCCCCCTCGCGCACCCTGAACCCCTCATTTCTGGCCCCACTCCAGAACACACACCCCAGCCCAGAGCCCATACCCCCTCCCAGCCCCCTGCCTCAGCCCGGAACCCCCTCCCATACTCCGAACCCTTCAGCTCCATCCCCCAGCCCGGAGCCCCTCCTACACCTCAAACCCCTCATTTTTGGCCCCACCCCAGAATCTGCATCCCCAGCCGGAGCCCTCACCCCCTCACGCATCCCAACCACCTGCCCCAGCCTGGTGGAAATGAGGGAGTGAGTGAGAGTGGGGAGAGCGAGTGACAGAGGGAGTGAGCAGGGAGCGGGGCCTGAGAGACAGGCAGGGCTGTTCAGTTTTGTGTGAGTAGAAAGTTGGCAACCCTAAGCCTGGGACTGTCTTGT